AAACTAAACCCACAGTACTGCCCACACCCTACACAATACAAGCCTCAACCCACATCATACACAATACAGGCCTCAACCCACAGTACTGCCCACATCCCACACAATACAGGTCTCAACCCACAGTACTGCCCACAACCCACACAATACAAGCCTCAACCCACATCATACACAATACAGGCCTCAACCCACAGTACTGCTCAGGTCCTACACATAACAGGCCTCAAACCACATCCGAAACAATACATCTAATGCCAGTAAAAATAAAATAAAAACAGTGCTAAAACAAAAGGAATTATTTTACCCTGGACTGTTAATTGTTATTACTTGTAATTACCTAGGTGTCATCACCTGATGCATCTTCCCTTCCACTTTCCTTTCATAAGAACACACAGAATAGTTGTTGTTCTCTGCATGTAAAGTTTAACAATTATATACTGGGTATATATATATAAAATATATATATACTTGACTACTGTAAACCACCTCATTTTATGAGGGGCAAAAAGTCAGTAAAAAACACAAAATTGTGTAGCAGAGTAAATTTCTCTCCAGTTCCACAACACATTGGTCAGAAACTTTCATGAAATGTCTTCACACAAGCCATAAAATTGTGAAACTGTAAATATTTCCAGCAGTGAAAATTGAATGGTTTAAAGTATGGTTTTTAAAATTTAACACAATTTAAAAATGAAAGACTGGTTTAAGTTTAAATGGTGATGGTAGTTTTTCAGAGTGTGTTCGTATTTTACATGCAGTGTAAATGTCGCATAGAACTATTATAGAACACAATGCAGCCTGGAAACTGCCACCCTTTGACAAAATGTAAATGTTTATTTACTGTACAAAAATAAAATGTCTTCATCCGTTCCGTAACTTTTTCTGGCTTTATCAAAATCTTTGCTGGAACAAATGCACAGTTCTGAAATATAAAAAAAACTGGTTTGAAAGTGTTGTAATCAAAATTGTCTACATTGAATTGACAAAAGAACTGAGTTTCTTATCAGTTGACTGCTCCCGTCTCAGGAAATCTCGTTGAAGACCACATGCTCAAACTCTCAAATCAGAATTGTTACCATAACCTACCTGAATAAGATGAGGGATTTTTATAGAAAATAGTTTTCTCTGTTTTGTCATATCCGCAAACAACAATAAAGTGCCCTGAAATTACAGAAAAAAATCTTAAAACATTACAAAGAAGATACACAATCTTATTGATGTACAATTGTATGCCATATTGCTATTATCTCCCAACTTAAACATAATGATATAATTCACACTTTAATAATGTTCTGGTAATTTTAATTTTGAATACAATTACATGAATCATATATTGATTTAGTTGTGATAACGACAAATCAAAATAGTTCTTTAGGGTGTATCCATGATTGACAGAAAAGCCTAGTTTCATTTGTAAACTTAAATGCATGAGTTTTAAAAATTAAAATCATCACACTCAGACAAAATACCACTTGAGTCATTAACTATATCCTGTTAAAACTGAATGATTGAGCTGGGGGGAGGGGAGTCAAGTTGAAGTTGTATCTAATTTCAAAATGAGATTAACAAGTCATTGTCAATGAGAATTCCTCTACAGTTTTTAGTGACTGTCAACATTAATGCCAAATAAATATTTACACTCATATGTGACAGACATGATACAAAGCAGAGCCAGTTTATTTGTGCGATTCCTCCTTCATTCTGCCAATGACATTCATATTGCCTTTCAAGCTTGAAAATGATGATCAGCTTCAAAAAGCAACATTCGTTAAAAATAAAATGGCAACCAGTCAGCCATTTTAAATATTTGACCCTGGAACTGCAATTTGTTAAAACAAAATGGCCGCCAGTTGGCCATTTTCAATCCAATCTGGAAAAAAAAATGATGTGCATCAAGGACCCATTATGTACAATAGACAAACCAAGTTTGAATAAAATATGTCAATGCATGACGATTTCCCGTTCTGGAATGTCAGAAATGCTTGATTTTGACAAATTTTTAGCATTAAAATTTTTCCACCAATTTTGAAAGAAATCAGACAACACATGCCAGAGTTCATAATACCCGAATTTGGTGCATTTTTATGACTAAAATGGCTGCCAGTTGGCAATTTAAAGTTCATGTACAAGTTCACTTACCGGCGTATGATGTGGATGTGCAGCAACTAAACATCCAATGCCAACTGGAACCCTCCTGCAAGACAGCATTAATACAATCAATAATATTATTAATTTATGAAATTAAGGATTCATACGATAAAGTTATGCAACTGGTATGACATACAATGAACAGAGCCACCCACCTGATTTAGTTCAAGTTCTTCTCTACAGATTTTACATTTCAATAAATCTGAATTCACTAGGACAATTGCAATATGATTCTCACTTAGATGTTGGTGTATTTCACGTAGAGTTACTGACCTGCAATCAAAACATTTCATGTAAAATATTACACATTCAAGTTGATAAAGGTATATCAACAAATAAGAAATAGAAAGACAGTCTAATTAACCAATCAGAAGGACCCTCTCACACTGAATAGTTTCTGAGTCAATGACAAGCTACTTTCAAGATTGTGCCTAATTGGCTACCCAACCCTAACAGTTAGACCAATCAGAGAGCAGCTTGCTGAGTATTTTTTAGACGTATGAAATTCTGCTTTGTATATATGCTGTGGCTCAACTGGGGTTCTCTCACACAGACCAATCAGAATGCTTCTTACAATTTCATTCAAGAGACACTTAATTTAATTTAACAAGAAACACACATTTGAAAAATCAAATCTAATTTTTATACTATGTTATTACCTTTTGATCGCTTTTATACCTAAATGTTCTGCATTAGAAAACAAATTATTCACTCGTTTTTCATCTTCATCAAATGTATCTTCGTAAAAATCCTGAAACAACAATATTTTGATGCAGTGATTCACATGGTAACATGAAACACTGATATTCTTTATATACATGTACAATCAAATCAGTAGTGCAGTTCTTGATGGACCAGAATTGTGTTCCAAGTTATAAACAATCTGGGGATTGAACACCAAAAAGGGGTTGACCCTCCACTGGGTGAGATGTGACACAGACTCAGCAGGAATTCATTCACTATAAATGAACATGACTTTAGTAAAATCTTGGGTGAGGTCCACAGGATAGCAGATCAATAATGGCATTATGATAGAATGATGGCAAAGCATCCTTGTCACGTAGTTCCAAACAAAGAATGTGGCTTCTGTGACAAAAACCACTATTCCATTGACACTTGACATTTGCAAATACTATAAAACCATTTATTTTCATGGGCATTTAATTTCACTATTTCAATGTTTTAAGCGATTTCACTGGATTTTAATTTGAGTTCACAAACTTGGCAGGGACCAATGAGTTCTATTTTTATTCTTCATGTTCATGTGGATTTAATTAAATAGCGGGATAATATTAATTATTATGTAAAATACACAATTTGAGACTGACCTGTTTTTTGTATCTGCTATCAACTCCAAGGGTCTGTGTATATAGGTGGTGTTTGATATTATATTTGGTCATTATATGCGCTATATCAATCGTCCATACACTGCAAATAACTCAAAATAGTTGAAGAATGTTACATATTCATGGTTCAAATTTTGTGTAGATAAAGCATGTGTTTTTCACCAACATGCATATCACTCACACAATATTCTTATCAAACAAGCTCTACGACCAACACAATATAAAGACCTGTATTTTTATGGGTGCTAAATGGTTTGTATTATTTGTATTGTATATATACCCTGGATTTGTTTTGTTATTCAAATCCTAAAAGACCATTCCATAATTATGAAAAAGTAGCATGAGAATTCTAGGGCTTGATCTATACAAAAGGGATTTTCCAGATGGCAACACTTTTACGGTATCTCCATATAATTAGATTGTGTGTGTTTAAAGTGTTGTGATGTGAACCTTGTTTTTACAAGGGTATATTTTTATGAAAATTCATATGTCAATTGTTTTATTCTGATAAATAGTGTTGCTGTCAGAATTAAATGAAGCTTATCGGTAATAGAAATATAGGACGTAAAATTATATTCAAGACATCCATGTATGCTGCACATAATCCATGTGTTTTAACAACTGTCTGCTGCATCCCGTTTACCATTTTACTCAATACTTACTATATGTAGTACATTTGATATTGCATACAGCCACAACATTTGTCCATTTCTAAATTTGCCCATTTGATTGAGAGACCGGCACCCTGGGATGTGTGCACTTGTCAAGCTTACAACATGACAAACACATAAAGAAGCGTACCTTTCATTAAAGTCCAGATCTTGACATATGGCTGTAAACTGTTCCACTGAATAGGAGTCTTGTAAATGATGCCTTGATAAAATTACATACAACAGAAATAACTAAATGGCATAACAACTAACTACACTGGTCAAGCTACACACATGTACATATAGTCTGTTAGAATCATCATAATATCGGTGTTGATCTGATGATCTACTACAATTAACTTAGTCATAAATACAATACTAAA